CGAACTTCTTAAAATTTTGCAAGGTGTGGAATCGGACTCGGAGTATTTTGTGGATAACATTGTACAGAATATATAATTATAAAGTATGTCTGACTGGGTGATAATAATAATGTTTATTCATCTTAGAGTAGTAATTCAATAAGTAAGTATGTAAAATGTTCGATGAGCCCAGTATCTTCAGATGCACTGTAATTACAGTAGATTTAGGTACTATTTTTGTACTCTATACACTATTATGGTAAATACAGTGTAATTCAAACTTTTTTAGAAATTCTTTTCAAAGAAAAAAAGGGAAACCTAATTGCAATTCGTCTAAAAATTATATCAATACATAGTATAAAACAAAGTCGCTTTCGCTGTATGTCCGTATGTATGCTTAGATCTTTAAAACTACGCAACGGATTTTGATGCGGTTTTTTTTAATAGATAGAGTGATTCTTAAGGAAGGTTTGTATGTATAATACATGCATATTGCACCCGTGCGAAGCCGGGGCGGGTCGCTAGTAAATAGATAAAACGTAACGTAATATTGTAGAAATTATGAACTTAAAAAAACAATGTTTTGATAAGTACACGGCTTCAAGCGTGATATAATTTACCTCTAAATATATAATTACTTTCTATGTCAAAAAACAATTAAAAATTCTGCCACTTAGATACCTACGGTAAAAAACGTTGACTGAAGTTATTAAAAAAACACACGAATAAACAAAAATAGAAGAAAGACCATAGACCCCAGTCCTGATCAGAATCTAATTCAACGTGCCCTCAGTGCCAATAACTTGATATGAAGTTAAAGAATGAGATAACGAAACGAATAGAGATGTACCCCATTCCTTATAGTAGTTATAGTTCGAATTGAGTTATGTATTAGTTTCTTTGATACTCACATTTTGTACTGTTTTTTCTTATTAAGGATACTGTGACATAAATCAAATCTGGAAATATTTCATCAGTTTTTATTTATAGACTGCCTCGTTGGCCGAGTGGTCGCAAGTACACCTGCCGGGCAAGGGGTCTCGGGTTCGATTCCCGGATCGGGCAAAGTATTACCGGGTTTTTTATAAATTCTCAGTAGTAGCACGGAGTCTGGAATTGTGTCCGGTATATGGCAGTAGGTTCACCCCGTTACAAGGGACTCATAACATAAATAGTGAAAAGTGGGGGTTACATTGTACAGTGGCATTAAGTGCCGTAATGTGCACCTCTGCCTACCCCTTCGGGGATAAAAGGCATGATGATATGTTATGTTTTTATTTATTTTCGTAAAATCAACTTTACGCGTACAACCATCGATGCGTCGATGGCATCCGTTGACGCATCGATAACAGTCGGCAGCCATAGCCATGTCGCTATAGGTAGACTGTTGCCGTCGACGGGTATGCGGTTGACGCGACACGTGTCGTCGGCATCAGTAGCCACTGCCGCCATTGGCAAAGAGTATAATAAGTATAGGGGAAGCCATTGGCAAAGCGCCGCTCGTGTAAAAGCTCATAATGAGTTGAAAATTTTGCAATATCTCAAGATCGATATATTTCTATACTCAAGGTAAAGCAAGGTCAATTTTATTTACAAATACAACAATCACAAATAATGCATATAGTCGGTAACTAAGCATACTTTCTTTATAAAATATTCTCATAAAAGTGGCCTTTTCTCAGCAGTGGACACATACAATGATAAATAAAACAAATATTTTGCTGTTACATTTTTATTAATTTTGTCATCTTAATTAAATGAATAGCAAATTGCAAGATGGTAAATTGGTAATGCTATGCAATTGAAAGAAATAAAATAATTTAATCCTTCAGCTTCTTCTTGGGGCGCAGGTTGTTGGTGTGTCCACACTTAGTCTTGCGGCAGTTGGTAGCACGGGGGTGAAGGCGAGCATAGCACTTGCGGCAAATCATTTTGTCACAGTTGTACTTCATGGCCAAAATACGGAGGGAAGGCTCAATAGTACCTAAAAGTAATAATTATTTTAAATAAAATATTGCACACAATTTTACTGTTATGCCTAACATTAGAAACTACCAAGATTATGGACCTGGTCAAAAATGTTTAATAATACGTATTTCTTTTCCACATTATCACACTATGTCTTAGTCCTAAAATTCATAAAGAAACTAAAGTCTTACCTCCTCTCAGCCTGAGCACCAAGTGGAGTGTAGATTCCTTTTGGATGTTGTAATCAGACAGAGTACGCCCATCTTCCAACTGTTTACCAGCGAAGATAAGACGTTGCTGGTCTGGTGGGATTCCCTCTTTATCCTGGATCTTTGCCTTCACATTTTCGATGGTGTCTGAAGCTTCCACCTCGAGGGTGATGGTTTTACCCGTTAGGGTTTTTACGAAGATCTGCATTGTAGAGCTGGAAACAAGTTATTTAGTTACTACAACATCTATTGGATTTTTTATGGCAGGTGGCCGAAACTTTTATAAAACAAATGCCAATCGATGTCTGTACATGACACGCCACGCGGATATTTAAATTTCGAACATCAGGTCAAAGAAACACTGTATTTTATGAAGAAATAATAGTTATATCACAGTATTTGATTATATAAATAATTTTGTTTGAAAATATCACTTAATTTACGTTTTATGAAGTTATTTCACAAGCTCACCTTTTCCTAAAAACGTGCTCAAAGTAAAAGAAATGTCAAACATGAAAAGTAATATGGCGGATATTCTCGTTCAGAATTTATTCCATAAATTCCAATTTTACGAAGTCGAATAAATTATTCCTTTATCTGTAACCAAGAATTTTACTCAAAATGTTAAGATATAAAGGAGAATTCATTGAAACAATGTATAAAATAATGATCGAATCTTGAATATGTAATCAAAGTTTATTTTTATGATAGATATATGTATTTTAAGGATACCTATTTCCGAACGAAATACCGAGTCACGTTCAGAATGTACGGTTCGCAGCCTTTTTATTTCATGGTAGATTTACTGATAATAATTTTCTGTTGCTATATGAGTGTAATAAAATATCTAAAATATTCCATATTTTATAATACTTCTAGAAGTAGTATTAAAATAAATAAAACTGACTATTTCCTTTTCATTATCGTTATATAACAATAATGTTGACAGTTGTGAGTTGACATCACGTTTTTCCCTACCCAAGTTTCTAAACGAATCTGATAAGTACTTGTTTCGTAATCGCTCGATTTTCAGGCACTTTGCAGGTCTAAAGTAGATTTTCCTTCGGACAAAATGTATCATCAACTTAGCCGAGTTACTGGCAGGCTGGTGGCCTCAACCCACTTGCAAACCCCACTTTTCCCCGTGGTAAGTTTCTACTACAAAAACTTTATTCCTATGAGGTTTATCTTTAGGTGACTTACATAGATAATCTTTCTTCTCTAGGCTCCCGTTGCTTTGCAACGAGTGGAGGCCCCAACCATTCAGTACAACACCACGCACATGTCGACCGTTGCCGACGCGTGTCCAGCCCCTGGCAAGTCTAAGTTGATCCCCGGCACCAACACCCCTTACGCCCGTATGTCTGAGAAGGTCATCCAGCGACAGAAACAATTCCAGGTAATTACTCATAATCGGTTTCTATAAATATTATTTATTGCGTAGAAAAAACATACTCAAATCTATTCTAATCATGATCACAGCTGATGTGATCAACAGCTGCATGTTCAAACTTCTTTACATTATTTACATCTATATTAAGAATATCCTAAATTAGAAATAACTTTTATTGACTGATAAGTTATTAACCCATGTACCTAATTAAGTTACATGACAAATTATCTATTATTCTAGCAGACAATAGCATTTGGTACTACACTGTCTTAGGAAAACATCATTATGTTATTATGTAGTGTAAAAGTATTTAGTCTTTGTGTGAACCTATTTATTCACTCACAAGACTATATTACATATGTGTAATCTTAAAAAGTATTTGGGCGACATAATAATAATAATATTATTATGTCGCACATATTATGGTGTCAACTTTCAATAAACTAAAAGATTTTAGATATTATAAATCAAATCATTTATTTGCAATTAGTCCAGGTAAACCTTGATCTGCTTACATCTCTTTAATGATGATAATATGAATAAATGATGATTGTTTAAGTTATTTGTTTGTTTACATTTTTTATTCAACATGCCCATGTTAACACTACTAACAAAATAGTTTTGAGTTTCTAGTATGCATAATAAAAATAAAAAATGTTAACTGTCAACTGATAAATTACTATTACATGATAATTCTCAATATAGAAAGAAAACTATACTGTCCAAAACTAATCAATACAATATTACTACTTTATGATAAAACTTAATTCACCCTATCAAGAAGCAACTATTCTGGAAATAAATATGTTTTTAGTAAGAAGTACTTGTACTGTATTTCAGAAAGAGGATGATGTGCCTGTGTTCCTGAAGGGAGGTCCCGTTGATGGTATCCTGTACCGTTTGACTTTGGCTCTCTGCATCGTCGGACTTGTTGGTGTCGGCCAAACCATCTACAGCCACGCTGTACCCAAGAAGTAAATACATGAATAAATCAATTACTAAATTATGTATTAGCTGCCTGTGTTATAAGTGTCTCAGCACTGTGATTAGAAATATATAATCTAAAACAATATCTTTCTTTTTCTTTCTGTCATCATGAAAAGTCACAGCCCTTTTTTCATAATATGAAACCCAAATTGAATACAATAAAATTGCATGTCATAAACAAAACTAGACAATTATGCATGAAATATTTGAATTGAGTCAATTAGTGTCATCTATATAAATAAAAATGAATTTCCGTTCGTTAGTCTCACTAAAACTCAAGAACGGCTGAATCGGTTTGGCTAATTTTGGTCTTGAAAGTCCAGGGAATGTAAGGCGAGAACTTTTTTAGGCGGTACGAAGTTTGCCGGGTCAGCTAGTATCATGATAAAATACTTATTGTATGAAAAATCTATGTGTAAAAAAACAACAAATTGGGCTAATAAGAAAATAGAACACAAAATTTTATATAATTCTATATTTGATACAACTGTATAACATATCAACACTGGTCTTCACCTATAACGCCATATATTGCAAACCATACTTTGTGAATTCATGTAGCATAACATTCAAAGCACTACCTTAAAACACCAACCTACTCTATGCTTGAAAAAATATGAATAACATCCAACTTTAATAATAATTAAGATCAAGTAGACATACATAATATTTTGATCGATAGTAAAATACGTAACACCTTAGTAAACTCAGTTCTTCCATGGAGCTGAAGAAGGAAAACAATCAGGTACCTAATACGAGTAGAGTTGAAAACTCAACACACATAATAAAAATATATTTAAAAAGGATATAATATAACGTAACTAGGTAAAAAAGGTATAAAAATAATATTTTGGAACTTTTACCATCAAACCAGTCCAGAAAAATATCTAAACCAAACATGAAAGAAATTTAAAATTATTGAGATTTCAACATTCCATCTCATTTGAATAAAATGCAAAACACAGCCTTTTAACATTAAAATAAATCTGGACAATGTTTTTAAATTCATATCACTTAATTTTCTTTAATAGACACACCAAGTAAGTAAACAGTTGATATATCATGACTTAAACTCTATCTAATTGCTAGGCAATATGTATATAAACAGTATGCAGCATTGAACATTACTGGGAACTTAATGATTTGCTAAAAGTAGATAAGTACCAGTAAATGACTACTGTGGTTTAAACTTTAAATAATGTGTAGGTAGAATATGCAGGTATTTCTTTATTCGATACCTAAGTACCTAAATAGTGAAAATAAAATATAAATTAACTAAGTAATAGATCTAGTATCCACCAGAGACCTAGAGCATCACCAAAGGAAATGTTTGTAATGTACTTCCTATTATAATACTATGTACTTGCATAAAATCTACTTATTTCTATGACAGCTCTTCCTATTTAAATAAAAATAAACCGAGACGATTACTGAGAATTCGATGCATAATTATTATTTTTTCAGCAGTTTCTATTCAATTAATGGAGTTAGCTGTTAGAAATAGCAACCATTGATGGATGAGTTACCTATTGGCTATAAATGTACAAGTAAATATAAACATAGATCAACAGGATCCACACGGAAGCAATCTATAATGACATTCCGTGTTAAACATACTGGTAGAACTTTAGATTGGCGGCTGATTCGATTTTTCGGTTGTATCTGTATGCTTATATGCTGTATGTTAATCTAGACACACTAGCTACTAAACATACAATCCCCATAGCCGCTTAACATTGGCAATAAATATTGCGTAATGGATTAGCTATAGTTCTGTACCTATACAATACAGAATGTGTTATAAAATCCATATGTACGTTAATAACGTAGTGTTGAAACTAAGACATAAATAACATGATCTTTTAATTTTATCAATTAATAGAAAGAAAATGGAAATAATGATAAATCACAGAGTACAACAAATAGGATTAGTAGTACCTAAGTATTAGCTGATCTACGTCAGAATACTGAAAGGTTACTCAATTTTAAGTCGTACTTAGGTAAATAACGTGCCATCTTTTTCATTTTACAAAGAATTTATAGTGACTGAACTATACTTATTTAAAATTGAGTGGAGTGTGAGTATTTGGACACTAGAAGTTCGAAAGAAAAATAATTACGTAGGTACAGAAAACTTCAAATTAACATTAAGTATGCAAGTTAATCGTTACGCTTCTATGTTAATATAGATGTCGTGATAATGTTATCATTAATGTATTATTTCTATCTGTCTATAATGGTATACATTTAAGCTACGTTATCAGCTTCTATTATCATTAACGTAGTAAATAGTCAGTGAAAAAGTACCAAGATATTACTAGAAAATAACAGTAGGTAGAGTATAACACACGTTCTTAAATCGACAATAATACTTATACATTTCTTTTCTTTACAGTAAAAGCCGGTCGAACTAGGTCACTGTATTCAGATATTGGAACCACTCCAATTGTTACCAAAGAATTTCGTTATCTTCATTCATTGATTGTGTAAAGCTGTAGATAACTACAGACTTAAGAAATATTATATACACAGGTATTGTGTACAATACAGTAACTCGACTTATGTCATATTATATGGCGGCGCAGACGCTGAAGATATTTCAAAATAGAATTAATTACTGCGCCTGTTAATTAATTACATGTGCCTGGGCACCGCTAGAACTGACATCGCCAGGTTACGGTACTTTATTAAACTATACAAGTTAAGTAAGTATATTTAACTAATACAATAGGTAATCTCATACAACACTAACGTATCGATACGTATTGATTATATTGCACCTCACAAACACTGGTATATTAATACTACTAAAATACAATTGTTAACAGTAAATATTTTTAAAACAACATCCAAAAATGCATCATCATTAATGAACATTAAAATAAATATTACAATTTTGTTAATATGGAACACAGGTTTTCAATCTTAAGCAAAAGCAGTACCTACCTACGTACCTACTTATGCATTATTTTAAATGAACTTCTATATAATTGAATTTAATATAATATATCATTTATAGAATTAAAAACACTGTAACATACAGCGATAGTGTTGTTTAGGTTTATAAAATTATGGTTAACAATTGCATTATGTAACGTAACAACTCAAATTTACTAGTTACTATTAATTGGTTCAATTTTAGTGATCCATAATATAAACGATAATTTGAACTGCAATTGGATTACAGTTTCCGAAACAATATATATATAATTTAACTGATGGATTGAACAACTATTACAAAGTTTTACAGATTAGGCACGCATAAATAAAGGAAGGTAACACAAAATATACAATAGTGTACATTGGCTTGTAGGTACACATTATTCGTACATTACACGACGTTATTACGATGGTCTAGGTCGCGCTGGCAGCGGTGGCGGTGCACCCTGTCTAGCGGGAACAGGTGGCGGCGGCCCGGCTGGTGGAGGCGTGCTGCTCTCCGGAGGGGGCGGTGGCGCACACGTGGGGGGCGGCACGCTGTCTGCTGGGGGCGACGCGATCGGAGGCTGTGCTGTAACCTTACCTGCGTCAGGCGTAAGGGGAGCTGGACGTGGGGGAGGTGGTCGCGCTGGACTTATTGCAGGCGCTCGGGACGGCACCAGGGGAGTTGGTGATGGTGCCGGTGGTCTACTTGGCTGCTGCCTCCGAGGGGTAGGCGGTGCTGACCTAAGAGGCCTCTCTGGTTGTGCTTCTCCCGACAAAGGAACCGTATTGTTGGAACATAAATTTATTTCTGCTCTCACGATATCAATCCAGTTAGGGGTTTTTAAAGTTATTTGTAATGGGATAGAACAAGCATATATCTGTCCCTTCTGTGCAGCTGCCAAAGCATTTTGCCCTTCTCTAAAAGTAATACTTAGAGCAGCGTCATCAATAAACCGAACTAATGTTACTTCACCGATAGTAGACAATTCCTGCAAAACAGCTGCCACGACGTTGTCATCAAAGGGGGACTCCTCACTATTATATTCTTCAAATGGCTGCACGATTATGCTAGCATCAGGAGGTCCAAGGTCCTTTACAACCTCATAAAATACTTCCATGCATTTCGTATAACTAACCTGCAGAACTTCAATTTCTAAAATTGCGATGACTGGTCGATGATCGCTTTGTTTGAGTTCTGCGCGGCCATAATGAAGCAATTTTCCAGCAGCTAATTCCGATGTGCCTTCTGGGTCAATCGTATATTTCCTGCTTCTCCACAGTACTCGATCGGTCCAAGCAGGTGCTCTACATTTTTCGCTCGTATCGTAGTCGTCGCTAAATAAGTCATATTTATATGTTGGTGGGAAAGTTATTTCTCCCTCAAAACAATTTTTGAACACTAAACCTTGGTCTTTTTGTTGTAATAGTTGGTCGTGATCTAAAATTCGTTGTAAATTGTTTTGTGACACTAACAAACGTATTTCATCTTTATCTAAGTCAACTCGGTAATTAAAATCACCACACCAGAACACATAATCATGGGAGTATAGTGAGCGACCCATTGGGAAGGCAGTTTTTCGTGTTATCTCAGTGTAATCAGCATTACGCTCTGTAACCTGAGACTGGCCAGCGGCGAAATGAGCACAAACAAAACATAATGAGGTCCCATAGAGGACCATCCGAATACCAACAGATCCTTTGTTTCCAGTAGTCCCACCAAGACCAGTTTTTACTGAATCAAGGGCAACATCCCGGATATGTGGAATCAGATCTTTCCTTACAAATATGAAAAGACATACGCCTACCAATTGATGACTTGATAATAAAGTATATGGAGCATCCCTGCAAAGTACTTTTTCCAATTCTTCACTCCATGCTCTAGCATTGTCAGAACTAGCTGCCATAATGTTGCTAGCATTCAAGTCCACAATTTCTTCAAAGCCAATAGCAAATATATCTGATGGATGTTCCTTTAAGTTGACAGTGTTCACTAAAGCTGAATTAGGGCAATCTAGTAACCAATCAGCCAATGAAACATCTTTGTATGCAAGACTTCTGAAATGTTTTCCTCCATTTACATTGTATGTACCAATTGTGATTCGTATAGGAGTTGGCTGTGTAAACTCATTTGCTCTGCGGCACATTTCTCTGAGCACAGGTGTCGATGTGTGCAATAAGTTTGATGGTAATAGTATTCTTGAACGATCAGCAAGTTCAGAGTTCAAAGTAGATCCTAAAAGTAAAATATCTATAGCCTCTTGCTTGGAGTTGTCTAGTAAATTATTTTGAATAGTACGAGCTGCGGACCTCGCTCCATCAATTAGTTTAGAGCCTCCTTGAATGGCACCAGTGCCAGCATATATTTTGGATATTTCATTGCCATTATTGACCCACATTTGTTTAAAAACTTCCTCAAACCTGTTGACATTTTGTTTTTTGTCAATACACTGCAGAAGCATCAACTGAATTGCCAACATTTCTAATCCAACAAATGTTTGAATAGAATTGGTTCTGTCCAAGCAATCTAAGCAATTGGTTCTTATCACTCCTTTTTGAATATTGTAGATGTCTGAACTTTTAGCACTAAAAATACTTATGTCATCATAATGCTTTTCAATGATTTTCCTAAATTTAGATAATGCTGTTTCTATAGAAGAGGCTCTGACTTCTTGGTGATAGTCAAAGATAATTTGAACTACGTCATTGTGAGCAGAGTCATTCAAATGTTTCTGAAATGCATTGCTCAGTGTAGCTTCTCCTTCACTGCCTCCAATCAGACTAGACCCCAATAGGTTTACAACTATTAAAGAGCCATAGTTACGCTTCAATTGAGAGAAATGTCTATCACATGCACTGGTAGATGCATCATATCCCCTTGACATCTTCACTTTGTGAGATCCTACTTGGATACCAGGTTGTTCCCAAAATAGAGGCACTGAGCCTCTGGTCTGAATATAAGAAGCTACTGAATCGTCAATATAAATAGCTTGTTCTGTTTCCACAAAATTGGCAACATTGCCATCATCATTGCAACCTCTAACATTGAATCTTGTTCCAGCACGCTCACAGCTCAGACGGGAGACCAGCACTGCTCTTGCTTGTCTATGACCAACATATATGGTCCTGATTTCCACTGAACCACACATAGCTCTAGTCAGCCACTCCTCACAGTCAATTCCATATCTTATTAAATGTATAAACAATGTTCTGTTCCAAAAGAACCTGTTATCCGGACTGGCTCCCTTACTTTTACGTTGAGCACATAATGTGAGATCAAAAAGATTAGGAGTTTTACCTGAATTCCAAGAAAAGTAAAAAGTTCCAGAGTTTACTAACTTCCTGACTTCCGAAACTTTGTCCTCTCCTTGTGTTTGATAAAATAGTGGCAGAAATTGTGTCTGGGTAATTTTAAATACCTCAACGTCTCCAATCTTACCGATTGAGCAACATCCCGTTACAAGAACCAGGTACAGCAAACAATTCTCTCCAGAATTCAATTGCAGGACACCTAGCACTCCATAGGCGTCTGCAATTTTATGATACTGTTTTCGCAATGTTTCTGTTTCTTGAGATGACAGCGAGACCACAGCTTGAGACTCGAAGAGAAGCGCTGAGTCTTTATTTCTATGTTGTAAGATTATACTGTACGGGTTTGGCGGAGCGGATTTCTCTAAGACCTTAAATCCCTTTGACATAGCCATGATTACAAGAGAGTGCTAGTCACTTACATGTATACAACAGCCATCCGCCCCCTATTACAGCTTCACTTTAGCATTTGCACAACAATCGACCAAGAAAAATCTAATGAGAATAGAGGATTTCTATCAATTTCGAAGCAAATCAGAAATGTCAATTACGTCAAAACTGTCAAACCGTAGATAGAGTATCTCACTTTTATGTATGGACCTTTATACTCTTTGGTATGGACTCCCCGCAAGGAAATAAAAATTATTGAATTCTAACCAGTTTAGGCCACTGATATGATGTTATATTTATATATCTATGGTTTAGGCACATAAATTATATTTATATCAATGACATAAATGCTGAATCGTAAAAATATATCAAACGAACAAAAATAAATACCTAGAATAACGAACTAATGTTGCCAACGTTTCTGTAAAGGCAAGTTTACAATCACAATTTTTTAAGTTTGATGTGATTGAGATAGACAAAATGTATTTTTTGCGAGCATGCACATGGCTCTCAATCATATATAATATCATTTATGCACAAATGAAAATGTCTTCGAAGAAACCTTACCCGGCTTAGGACAGGTGTTTTACGTTTTCTGCAATATTGGCTGATGCGGGTAGATATACCTCGTGTGTTCATAAGTTTTGAGACAAATTAAAAGTTGCATATCTTTTTAAATAATAAACTTATATTTATAAAAACAATAACAAACATTAAGTAGATAGTAAGTAAAAATTAAATATAATTATTATTCAAAATGATCACCCCTGTTTTTAATACATGCCCTTAGACGATTTGGCCAGTCATCAATGGCGGCACGAATCTTTTCCAGAGGAATTCGCTTCGCTTCTCGGACAAGAGCTCGCTTAAGTGACTCCAAGTTTGGGTGGGACTTTCGGCAGGCTCTGAGCTCTAATTCGGTCCATAGAGAATAATCCAG